TAGCCAGAACCATGACTTGTAAACATCTAGACTCGTTATATAATAATAATAAGAAAAAACACTTTAAATGGTGAAGGCACAGAGAGATGCCAAGCCATCTCAGCAGAAATTTGAGTTTGTCTCTGCAAAAATAAAAGTCTGCAAAGCAATCCACACTCTGCCACACTACCCAATATTGCAGGGACATCTCTGTGCGCAAATTGACTGCCGCATTCGCCTATAAAAATACAGTCACAACATCCCGTGAAGCGCTTCGAGACTTAATCCCTGAGTAAAAGGTGCTATTTCAAATGTTAGAATTGTTATTTTTGTTAAGTCACTTTGTGCCTCAGACAATGGGACAGGTTTACTGCCCGTTAACAGTTGGGTAACTATATTGTATGGCCAGGAATTAGTCTATAAACACAGCCAAAGCCCTGATCATTCATATTAATAAAATAATAATAATCCTTGCATTTGTATAGTATCTTATCACATCTTTGAGATATCTCAAAGTGCTTCACAGAATATATTGGGAAGTTAATTGAGTGTATATTTTGTGGATAAGATGTGACAGCTAATTAATTGCACACAGCAGTGTCCCACAAACAGGCGTGGACTGAGTTAACCAGGGATTTGAAGGGAATATTACCCCCAGAAAGAGATCTGCCAATCGACTAACAATTGGGTTCCTACTTACTGCTAGGTAAACAGAGACGTGTGGAGTAAGGAAACTTTCCTAAGGTTTCACCCTGCCGGGAATTGAACCCAGGTCTTCTCGCTTGCGAGGCGAGTGCTCTAACCTCTGTGCTACAGGACTCCACAGAAGGGGAGAAAGTTTGTGGTTAACCCGAATGCATGTTGTCTTGCTGTCCAGGCTCACACATGAGCAGTGTTCACTTGGGGGAAGGTACAGGAGGGTAACAGTGCTGGTGAAGGTTAGGGCACAGAATCCTCAACAGAGAGGAAAAGGAACTAAAATGATCCAGTAAAACCCCCAGGCAAAATTTAACCAGTTAAAGCCGGATAGCTTGTCATTGCCAGCACCTTGAGATGTCCTCCCAACGTAAAAGGCGCTGTATAAATGTAATTTAGTATTGTATTGAGAGCACTGTCTGGCAGCTTCTTTCTGCTTACCCAGTGAGCACCACCCAATCCGCTAGGGTTTTGGCCTGCAGGGTTAACAGCGTCTAAATGGGAAGTAGTCCTAGTAGTAGTTCGGAGTCCTGTAGCTCAGTGGTTAGAGCACTCGCTTTGCAAGCGAGAGACCTGAGTTCAATTCCAGGCAGAGGGTGAAACCTTGGGCAAGTTTCCTTACTCCACACTCCTAATAATAATCCCTCCAAAACCCAAAACAATAATAAATTGGTCATTTTCAATCTACGACTGTTTGTGGGACATTGCTGTGCGCAATTGGCTGCCGCATTCGCCCACAAATATAGTCAATTCACTTTACAGTGTGTTCTGTGAAGCGCTTTGGGACGTCCTCCCGACGTGAAAAGCGCTATATCAAATGCAAGGATTATTATTATTATTATTAAGTAGGTTTTTTTTCACCAACAAAATAGTCAATCCACTTTACAGTATATCCTGTGAAGCACTTTGAGATATCTCAACGAAGTGATAAGGTGCTGTATAAAATGTATCAAATTATTATTATTATTGCAGAATCCAGTTTCTTCTGCCAATGAGCCAGGCTGCCTGGTCTGGTGTACTTTGGACCCATTCTGGCTTAGGAACCAGACTATCGAACCCATTACAGAGGATCTGACTCGATTCCAACATTCACTTCCCACTTAGCTCCCCACAAGGAAGAAACCTACCATTTGCTGAGTTTCTTTCGACATAGAACAGAGTGGAGTCCTGTAGCTCAGTGGTTAGAGCACTCGCTTTGCAAGCGAGAGACCTGGATTCAATTCCAGGCAGAGGGCGAAACCTTGGGCAAGTTTCCTTACTCCACACACCTAATAATAATCCCTCCAAAACAAAAAACAATAATAAAATTGGTCATTTTCAATCTACGACTGTTTGTGGGACATTGCTGTGCGCAATTGGCTGCCGCGTTCGCCCACAAATATAGTTAATTCACTTTACAGTGTGTTCTGTGAAGCGCTTTGGGACGTCCTCCCGATGTGAAAAGCGCTATATCAAATGCAAGGATTATTATTATTATTATAAAAGCAGTGCCCAAGGTTCAACAACTCCAACTTGTCCGATAGAGATAAAGCGTGAGCCACTTTCAAGCTTTAATTTCTTTGAAGTCTTATATTTACGGGACATTAATCAGAGGCTCAGCCCCACCCCTCCCCTTCCTGCAAAACTTTAAACAAGCTCATATAGAATTTCTTACGGCACAGAAAACAAAGACCCCACCTCCCCCGCTTAGGTAATAATGTTCCTAAGGCCCATTGAACTTCGGATTTAGTGTTTAACTTTTTTTTCATCATTCGTGTGTTCTAATATCAAGTCCAGATGGTTTAACCTCAGCAAATCTAGATACAAGATAAATCACACCAATCTCCCTGCAAAAAATAACTTGTGTTTGAACCTCTGACAAGTAAATGCAAAATCGTCAATTCCGCGCAGAGGAAAATTGAAAGTGAAACCATTCAAGTTTATATGTCCTTTTTTCTTTTACGAATGATGCGTTATGCTGCTTTTTTAATGCACCATTGGGTCAGCCTGGCTGTCTGTAGCTCTCACCTCTGTGTCGGAAGGTTTGTGAGTTCAAGCCCCACATTGGGACTGTCTAGTGTGACGTTCGTGTTGCATTGTTCGTCGGATGAGACGTTAAACCAGTCCTTTCTGCCTGTCTGTATGTTAAAAGATCCCATGGCTGTATTCAAAAAGAGAAGTGAGTTCCTCCTGGTGGCCTGGCCAACAACCCCCGCCAATTAAAATTGGCCATTTCACTTCACGAAATTCATCCTCTGCAGGAAATTACTTTGTGCAAATGGCCTGTTTTGTTTGCCTGCAAAATAGTCACAAAGTAAATCCTGTGAAGCGCTTTGATGTTGATTACATAAAGCTATATCACATCCAAGGATTATTAGTTTCCATCTTCCAAGACTTGCATTTGGTATAGCACCTTATCACTTCGTTGAAATGTCTCAAAGGTCTTCACAGGATATACTGTAAAGTGGAGTGACTGTGTATAAGTTGTAAGGCACAGAACGCAACATTTGACCCAACTAGCCCTCGCCAGTGTTTAAACTTCAAGTGAATCTCCTTACTCACTCCCATACCCTTCTCCCTCATAGATGCAAGTGTCTTTCCTGCATACCGTAATATTACACACATTTATTGTTAAGCACATCTCAATTGTATGAATTTTTATTTAAGTATAGAGTATGGCTTGTGTTACAATGTTTCTAGTTGAATTAGACTGTTACAGTACAGTACGTTATTTCACACGATGACCTGATAATATCTGCAGTTTTCACATCCAGAAGTCCAAATAGTATATATCTACTGTATATCAAACGTATGCATTATTCTGAGCTGTTACATTTTCTTGAGAAAAGTACCAATCACAAATTCAACGGAGTCAGACTATCACTTTATTTTAAATGTAATACGTGCACCGTAAAACTCTTCAATGACAATTTAAAACTCATGGCTTTTTTAAAAAAAATTAAGCTATTTCTACTGCCATTTAGAGACACTGTATTCGCAAATAAGTGCCCGCAAACAAAAATATTCACCAAATATATGGTCCGATAATGTAACAAAAAAAAACACACGAAAATGCCCCAACACCTCTTTAAGTATCACTCAAACATCAAAATAAATGACACTTGGTTGTTGTTTACAAAGCTTTGCTTAAGATATATATATAGAATTCACAATGCGAACAATGATGCACTTCAATGTGATTGGAGCTCCATCCTAAAAATCCACTTGAGATAGATAGCACGTGGAGAAGTGCAATATGTTTTCGCACTCAAGCCAAAACAGCTCTGAAGAGCCTCAAAATTTACTACAGAATTGCTTAGGTGACAACAAACAATCTAGTAACCAACCACTTAACACAACCCACTCTGTGCACCATGTGAATGCCACATAAAACAAAAAAAAGATGCTTGCACACACTTTTAAGCGCTTTGAGACGTCGAGAAGACGTGAAAAGCGTTATGTCAATTGCAAGGATTAATATTATTATTATAACTTTAGTTGACATGAGGGAAAACTTCTCAATATGGACACGGATAACTCTCAGGCCAACGGCCAACAATGGTTAATTTTTGGTGTGAATAACTGTTTCAATTCACAACGTCCATGAATCAGCGCGGGGCACGGATATTAATAAAAGGCAGAAAAAGATTAAAACAGGTCTTAAACGTCAAGATGCAAACTGTAACTTTGTAGATAAGCTAGAATTCAACTACAATTTCAGGGAATTTACTTTCAACTCACTAAATCAATAGATTGTTTTTGCTTAGGTTTTTGCCCTCGGTTTATTTACTGCATCGTAATGCAATGCCGAGCAAAGAACGTGGAGAACGAGTAACAGTACGCAAAACAATAATAGGTCTGTATCAGAAATTGGTCAAATTGAGTCATGGAGAGAAATTTGTTCGAGAAGTGACACGGGGGAGGAAGGAGGGAAAAGAACATGACATGAGAACACGGTAATTTAATTTACAAGGTTGTCATTTTTCAAATTGAAATTATTCCCAGTCGTCCGTTTTACAATGGTTGCATGCAGGAGTGAGGTTCGAAACGGGAACCACAGAAACTAAAAGGTCGAGACCGAGAACGGAAAGTAGGACTGGACTGAATCAATTCATTCTGAAACTGTTCTCACTAAGGATGAAGCTAGGTTTGATATTTGGGATTTCACAGAGGAGGTTGCATCACCTTCTCTTCTTTCTCTCTGTCTCTCCACTTTCCCTTTTCCTCCCTTTCCCCTGTAACTGTTTCCAATCACCTTCAAATAACACAAAGCAGGTGAAGAGCAGGAGACTTCTGGATCTCAATTTCTTGAGTGAAATTTTCTTTAAAAAAAGACAATACGCTTATTTTAACTTTCCTTCATTTACTAAAACAAATTTAAGCAAACCACACACACAAGCACGTGCACACAAAAACAAGTTTTATAATTGAATTACCACCGAGGTGCTGGGAAAAAAATAATGTCAAACAAAAAAAAACGCAGGTTTAATTGACTGGATCCTGTATGTAAATAAAATTCTTGATATTTAAGTTGTAAAAAAAACTAGCTTAATGTAAATTGTAATTTTTTTCTGGAAAGTGTCTATCTGCCAGTTCAAGACAGTATATGCTGTAGTGTACAGACATGATATTTTGGTAGCCACTCAATATCAGATTAGGAAACAAACTGAATTTAACACTATAAACAAATCCCGTGATAGCACGTTTCCAAACGGTGTGACCTTTAGTCTTTCAAAAATACAAAAGTTGGGATGTACTGTATATACATAAACAGTCACGCTATAAACATTACAATACAAACAAGCTTAATTTTTTTCCCCTCCTTTTAGAAAACTCAGGTCAATGTAAAAGACAGCAGGATAAATGAGAAACTGCAGGGCACGTCTTTAGAGGGACCTCCTAGAACCTTTTTATTGCGTCATCGATGTCAGGAATCATTTCTTTCAGTTGGTTCCACTGGTCAGGTGATAAAGAAATCCCTAGGAATACAAACAACAAATTACATTTGTATAGCTCCTTTCACACTGGGAGGTCGGCCCAATATGCTGGACAGTCACGGATTTGGACTCAAGCTGGGGATGGGATCAGGAGTAGTGGAGGACGGGGAGAGTATGGGTAGGAGGGTGGCCGAAGGCGCGGTCACGTCAATCCTTTGTGGGAGTCCTGGTAGCCTTGTTCCTGAGCTAGGCAGAATCACAGCACTGCAAGACACTGATAATGACAGACCAGCCAGCCTGGCTAGTCGTCAGATCTTCGACATACTGGTCACAGAACAGGGTTCTTCCTATTTGGTTCTAGTAACTCTGCAAGCCAAAGTCCTAAAGGACAGGATGGTATTAGCTGACAAGTAGCAGGAGGCTTGCCAAACAGTCCTCTCAAAGGCCAGCTATGTGATTTTAGTTGGTTAAACTCCAGCAGTTCTCCAAGGGCCAATTCTGGCACGTGCTTAATACTTTCTGGAATTAGGTAAGTAGGGAGAATCCTTCCTGATAAGAGTGTACACTCCATTCTAGACAAATGGATTATTTTCATGGAGGTGGGATAAATATGTGAAACTCTCATTCTCGTTTGAATACTCTTTAAGCATGGGGATGGGTTTCCACATGTGTCAAAGCACCCAGCTGACTCAAAAATGGGAGACGAAATCATCATAAATAATAATCCTTGCATTTGATATAGTGCCTTACCACGTCATTGAGATGTCTCAAAGGACTTCACGGGAAATACTATAAAATATAATGATTGTGTATTTTGTGGGCGAAACCCCATGTAGATGATTGAGGACACAAGACCTTATCTAACACTTCCACAAATGGCAATACATCAATAACATCTTATGATTTTATACTAGGATTGTCAATCTGCTGGAGCTTGGTTTCCAGGGTTCGGGACAGGATCACTACAGACCTGTCTGGCTTTGCAACTGTAGCCCCATCCCCAATGCGGATATTTTATCCCATAAATAACTCAATGAAGCAAAACATACCTTTCTTCCCAGGCTTCATCTCACCATCTTGGTTCATCCAGTATTCTCGAATATCAATGAGAACTCTGCTTTTGAATTCTCGCACGCTGACGTATCTCATCTTCCCAATCTGTCAAGAAACGTGCATCTATAATTAGTGATAGCTGCTTATGGCCTTAGGAACATGAGGGTTCATAAAGTAGGAGAAAAGCAAGTAAGACCACTGTGGGAGCTCCCACAGTAATCATATTGAACTATCTGAGATTTACTTAAGAGAAGAGAATGAGCAAGTTAGTGACTTTGGTTTGGATTGATTGATCATTCATCCCCTTGGCCATTTGTGGGATCATGCTGCACGCAAAATGGCTGCCATGTTTGCCAGGCTGACCAGTATTTTAAGTATTTATTCTCACAATTGATGCAGGGAATATTCAGTTATATAGATATATATATTACGGCTTCCAAGACATAACAGAATAGCAACGGGTATCACTATAGCGCTGCATTGCAAAAGGCAATTGAGTCAATTGAGCACAAATGAGTCATACCTATAGCAATCTGACTGTATATCTGCAGCAATCTGACTGCACAAGTATGTACACAATAAGTCTCTTGGGTATTGTGACCTCAATTTTGTGACCTAATATTAATGGTTACTAATACATCCAAGAATACTCATGTTTTCGCATCAGTGATCCATGGTTTCTCAGTAATCTCTGTATGAGTCAACTTCGTTATTTCTTCGCTTCCTCTCTCTCTTCACCCCCATGTGGGCCAGATAACCAATGATGCTGACATAGGATCCAATTTCAGCAATTTTATTAATGCAATATGCTATATGAAATTAGTACACACGAAGCAGGATATGGTAGAAAGATAGGAAGATGAGAGGGAGATCATGCAGAGTACAAGTTGGCCTAATTAGTCTGTTTTAGTGCTGGACAGTATGCAAAACACCAAATGCCACATCGAGAGCAGCTTTAAACAGAAAGCCAATTGCCAAGTGGGGATTTTAGATGATTTTCAAAAAGAGAGCGTCAATGCCACTGTAAGTTTACTGTAACCATTGTAGGGACAGAACAAACCTGAAAAAGATTGTCCTCTTTATCGCTTTTGGCAGGTGCTGCGCCCTTGGAGCTCTCCCCACTCTTGTGCCTTTTTGCTGATTTTTCTTGTACTGCCGTCTTCTTTCTCTTCACCTATAAAATAATCCCAGGCTTGAATTACACCTTTTACGGAGGACACATAATGGAATATGGGGGGAGGGAACCTAAAAAGAAGAATAAAGCAATATACACCATCCATTCAGTATCAGTGCTTTCGCTTATCACAAACAGGATTTTGAGAGAAATTGCTGCTTTTACTCATTTAACATTTGGGTTCATGGTAATAGTTAGCTAGTTATTCTCCATTAAAAGTACAATAACTTGCATTTATAAAGTGAAGTTCATGCAGGATAACATCTGAGCGCTCACTGACGCCACCCCCACACACCCCAATCTAAACAACAAATAGTATGGCGTGGCAGCTTGGTTCAGAGGCTGCACTAGTGGGGCATGATCAGCCCACTAACGTTCAACAAATTAAGGTACACAATGATGTGAATTCAAATTCAGGAAATGTACCCTCAACACTTGTTTTCTGAAACCTTAAATAACTCTGTAAATACACTATAACAGCATTCACAAAAATACACTTCTTTACTGGAAAAATGTCAGTGAACACCTTACAATTAGTAGAGATTTTAAACTGAAATCATTCATTCGGAAAATCTTTCAGTGTGAACAACACGAAAGCAGTGCAGTTTACCTTTTGATCGACTTCGCTATCAGAGTCACTGTCTGAGGTTGTAGAAATGATCTCCTTTGTCTTAGACATTCTGTTAAAAAAAACATGTTTCCATAAGCTCCAGCCGTGTGAATTAAACCATCAAGGAGTTAAAATTTAAAACTATTTCTAGAAATTGCCAAAGTAGTCCCATTAACATAACTTTCTGATGAGAATTGGCCCCTCACTATTCAGTCAAACAGTAGGTATCCTATCAACTGCTCTATTAGTCGCCTCTTCAATTTATTCATCTCTTCCCTTTTTGTTGTGTGATCATCAGCATGCTTTTGGTCCAGCCTGCGCTCCCACCCCAATTAAACGGGGCACCGTCCATGCAACATTGAACATGTACCGTAACATGGGGCTGTTTTCATCTGCCCAAAAGACCTAATTTCATTAAGCGAACACCGAACCCTGCTGCTCCTCCATTGCTCAGACATGAATGCTGTTGCAAACTGTGTCAGCTTAAATTTATAATACAGGTAGTGAGTACAATACTGGCACCATGCGCAGCAAATTGACAGGCGTGCTGGGGTGCTGTTACATTAAGTTTGCTGCAGGCGAGAACCCATATTGAATATCTGTAATGAAGTTAGTATCAATTAAAGAATACCGTCAACTGGATTCTAAAAAAANCTTTCCCGATTACTCTCTTTAACAGCTGATGCATGGCAGGAATACATTTTGGTTAAGGCAAAGCACCTTGAGGCAATTCTAAAAGCAGTACATTGAGGTAGAGCATGCCTCTATTATCATGCAATGCACGTTTGGAAGCTTTCATCTTACTGAAGCACACTTTCACCATTGCATTCACCTGTCTGTTAAAATGCAGTAGAAATAAGGCACACGGGTTCCTTGCTTACATACCTCAACTTCACATTTTTAAAGTAAATTTTCATCTTTGTGTGTAAAAAAAAAGGATCAACCGCACAAGATTTTATTAAAAATAAAATACACGATCAGGTGCTGCTGCTCATCAAACATCAGCAAGTGTTCAAACCATCCCTTCCAGCATCCACACAAACATATGCAGTATGACTTTGCTCCCGGCTGAAAATGGTTCACATTTACACTGATACGAGGCATCAGTCGGTTTGGACGGAAGCCCTAATTGCAAAACGAAACCACACATGTCAGGTCATTTTTTAGGAATCTTTGTTTGCACGGGGGCTTTTTGCTTCTCTGCCAATTTAGGGGGGCCATCGATTGTCCCTTCCTACCTCGTGGGTTCAACACCACACCCCCTCCCCCACATGCATTATTTACTTTAACCCTTTACTGCACCTAGTTTGGGGCTTTTTCCCCTTCAGTGATTCGTAAGTTCACTTCCCTTCGCTCATCCAGTGCCTCTCCTCCCCCCAATTTTTTTTTAAAAAAATTATGCGCGCTGTTAACCCTTTGCCGCGTTGCTTTTGGGCATTTCCTTGCAGTAGTTATCAGTAGCGGTTTCAGGATGCAGGGAGTTGGTTTGCTCCTGGAGTCGGGGCAAGTCGCCCAAGTCCTCTTCCTGCACTCTCTTGAGAGCAAAAGAAAGCCAAAATAATAGAGCTGGCACATTGCGCTCCCTTCTTGCTGTGCGCAAAAACTAAGGCAATGGGGGCTCATTGCAATCCCTTATCCTGGTTATTATTAACCGGATGGGACTATTTATTAAATGCTCCTAAAACCTCATGTTGCATTGCATCTGGAGCCTTTCCTTGCGAATAATAAAGAGCAGCAGTTGCTTTGTGTCTGGGCCCACCCCCAGGGTCGTCGCTGCTCCATACCTCTTATTTCCCCTCTCTCTCCCTCTCTCTCTCTGTGTCTGTCTGTGTCTGGGCTCAGCTCCACTGAGACTCAGCCCAAGCCCCGCGAGAGAGAGCAGTAGCGATTGGCCGGAGCCGCCTAGCAATAGCAGGCAGGAGGCTCCTGATTGGCCCGCCCCCATCACCAGCAGATAGGAGCCTCCTGATTGGCCATCCCACGACCAGCACCAGCAGGTAGGAGGCACGTGATTGGCTATAAGGACACCTCCACCACACCATGACCAGCAGGTAGGAGGCTACTAATTGGTTATGCCGCCCCTTATCAACCATCACTAGCTGTTAGGAAGCTCCTGATTGGCTGTGCCGCGCCCGCCTCCATACCAGTACCAGCAGGTAGGAGGCTCCTGATTGGCCTGTCAATCACAGCCGCGGCCTAAATAATGTAAAAGAAGCCGATTTCCCCCCCATTGCCCCCCCCCCACCCCGACAGCTGGCGGTGGAGACAATGAGGGTGAAGTGGCCATTTCTCCTCTATCTCTCCCTCGCTGTCGTGTCCGCCCCGCGATATATTGTACAATATCCCCCTCGTCCCGTCCCCCCCCCACCCGCGGCTCTCACTCACAGACCTGAACGGCGTCGGACACTCTCTCTTTCTCTCACACGCGCAGGTTCGGGCTCCAGCGATATGAACGGCGGAAGCTGCTGGCTCGACGCCCTTGCGTCACTTCCTGTGCGGCCGCTAAGGATGCTGGGCGTTGTAGTCCTGTTCCTCCAGCAGCAGCTGGTTAAGCTCCGCCTCTCTTCTCGCCACCAGCGTTATTGCTGCGTTGGGCGGTTTTCACGCCCAATTGGGCGGGTTTTCTTGTTGTTGTGCTACATAAGATTATTAACCTTATAATGCTTGACATTGGATATATCTCCCCGCCCTCCACCCCACCATCCTCTGGAACTCCATCCCTCCCTCCGCCTCGCCCTCCAGGCAAAAAAAAAAAATTAAAGAGCTGAATACTTGGCTAAAAAAATGGTGCGGAGGGCAGGGGTTTCACTTTATAGGCCACTGGCACCAGTATTGGGGGAGACGGGAGCTATTCCAAAGGAATGGACTCCACCTAAACAGGGCTGGGACAAATGTCCCGGCAACACGAATAAATAGGGAGGTAGACGGGGCTTTAAACTACTAAGGGGTGGGGGGGGGTAAATTCAATCACATGTAATCCGTCACAATTAAAATTAGGACCGATGAAAGTGGGAGAGCAGATTAACCAGGGAGATGAGCAAAGGGTGTCAAGCGGGGAAAGGAAGCCCAGGGATAGGGTACTGGTGAATAGGACTAATAGCCCGAAGTCAGAATTAAAGTTGCTATGTCTGAATGCGCGAAGCATTCGAAACAGGATAGATGAGTTAATCATTCTGGTAGCCATCACCGAGACATGGTAACAGGGAGATCAAGGGTGGGAGCTAAATATTCCAGGGTATGCGGCGTATAGAAAAGATAGGCAATGTGGTAAACAAGGAGGGGGGTGGCCCTGCTAATAAAGGATGGGATAAAAACAGTAGAGAGGAAAGATTTTAAATCAGAAAAGCAGGAAGTAGAGTCAGTATGAGTAGAGGTACGTAACAACAAGTGGTTGAAAACTCTAGTGGGAATAGTTTATAGACCCCCGAACAGCAGTCACAGTATCTCTCAAGGTATAAATCAGGAAATTAGCAGAGCATGTAGTAAAGGAAAAACATTAATTGTGGGTGATTTTAATCTGCACGCAGATTGGGTCAACCAAATTGGGAAAAGTATGGTAGAGGAAGAGTTTATAGAATGTATTAGGGATAATTATCTGGATCAGTATGCCGAGGAGCCAACCAGGGAACAGGCCATATTAGACCTTGTTTTGTGCAATGAAGCAGAGCTGATCAGCAAACTGGAAATTGAGGCTCCTCCAGGGCAAAGTGATCATAATATGATGGGATTTAGCATTAAGTTAGAGAGAGAAGTAATTAAGTTCGAAGCAAAGGTTTTAAATGTAAGTAGAGCCAATTTTGCTGGTATGAGAGAGGATTTAGCCAAAATAAACTGGGAAATTAGACTTAAGGATTTCACAGTAGACCAGCAAAGCCAGACGTTTAAGGAGTTAGTGCAAAATTCCCAGCGAGCACGTATTCCTTTGAGGAATAAGAATGCCACCGTGGCTAACTAGAGCAGTTAGGGAAAGTATAAAGTTAAAGGAAGAAGCCTATAAAATCAGCTAAGATGAGTAGTAAACCCAAGGATTGGGAGAACTTTAGGGATCAACAAAGGAGAACCAAAAAAGTGATTAAGAGGGAGAAAATGGAATATGAGGGCAAACTAGTGAAGAACATAAAGACAGACTGCAAGAGTTTTTATAAATATATAAAGAGGAAGAGGCTGTCAAAGGTAAATGTGGGTCCGCTACAGGCAGAGTCGGGGGGAATTATAGTAGGGGACAAAGACATGGCAGAGTCATTAAACAAGTACTTTGCTACTGTCTTCACCTTAGAAGACACTGAAAACCTACCAAGAATAGAGGGGAACCAAGAAGACAATGTTAGCAAGCAACTTGGGGGAATTAATATTAGTAAAGAAATGGTTTTAGGTAAATTGTCAGGTCTTAAAACTGATAAATCTCCTGGACCTGATGGCCTACATCCTAGGGTTTTAAAAGAGGTGGCTACTGAGATAGTGGATGGCTTGTCTTTGATCTTCCAAAATTCTCTGGATTCTGGAACGGTTCCCATTGATTGGAAGATTGCAAACGTAACACCACTATTTAAGAAGGGTGGGAGAGAGAAGATGGGGAACTATAGACCAGTTAGTCTGACATCAGTGATAGGGAAAATACTTGAGTCCTTAATTAAAGATGTCGTTATGGGATTCCTGGAAGACCATAACAAGATTAGGCAGAGTCAACATGGCTTTACAAAAGGGAAGTCATGCTTAACTAATCTTTTAGAGTTTTTTGAAGACGTATCTAGCAGGTTAGATAGGGGGGAACCAGTAGATGTAGTATATTTAGATTTTAAAAAGGCATTTGACAAATTGCCACACAAAAAGCTATTGCACAAGGTTAAGGCCCACATTGTGGGCTGCATTTTGCCCACAAATATACAGTCAATTCATTTTACAGTATATTGTGTGAAGCGCTTCGAGATGTCTGGAAGATGTAAAAAGCGCTATATCAAATGCAAGATTATTATTTTTATTACAATACCAGCTTCATTTTCTGGGATTGCTTGGGTGACGTAAGCAAAAAAAAAGCAAAAAAATTTGCATTTATCTGTATGAAACCAGAAAAACATTCCTGTGGAAAAAGTCAAATATTTAAAGATTTCTCACTACAAGAGGTGTATTCACTGAATGAGGCTCACTAACTCACTGGGTGACTGATGCTACTAACTGGGAATGAAAATGGCAGCATTCAGCTCTGAGCAGCAGCGGTGGTGGTGGGGGGGCTCTTACAAACTGTGCTCCACTGCTGTGTGCAAATTGGCTGCCACGTTCACTCACAAAACCACACAGTCATTGCCCTTTACAGTAATAGCCTGTGAAGCGCTTTGAGACGACGTCCCGGTGTGAAAGGCAACTCGTAATGATTTATTTTTTTAAGATCGGCGATACTCATCAAGGCTATCCATCTTCTCATCGAGCCGAAGCTTCCCGCGGGGCTGGATGGTTTCGTTTTTGACGGTAGATTTTTTTTGCTCTCGGGCACATCTTAAGATTTTATTTATTTGCTGAGGGACAGCCCACCAAAACACAGGCCCCAAAAGTAGCACAATATTACATAAGAACACGAGAACATAAGAATTAGGAGCAGGAGAAGGCCATTCAGCCCCTTGAGCCTGCCCTGCCATTCGATAAGATCATGGCTGATCTTCAGACCTAACTCTAATTACCTGCCCTATCCCCATATCCCCTAATCTCTCTATTTTTTAAAAATCTATCAGTCTCAGCCTTGAAGATGTTCAAGGACTGAGCATTTACAGCCTTCTGGGGTAGTGAATTCCATAAATTCACTACCCTCTGAGTGAAGAAATGTTTCCTCAACTCTGTTTTAAAAGGCTGACTGTGACCCCTGGTTATAGATTCTCCTACCAGGGGAAACAGGCCCTCAATGTCTACTTTATCAGCCCTTTAAGAATCTTATATGTTTCAATAAGATCCCCCCTAATTCTCCTGTACTCTGGAGAATACAGCCCTAGTTTATTCAGCCTATCCTCATTGGTCAGTCCCCTCATCCCAGGAACTAACCTTTAACAGTCAGCCTTTTAAAACAGAGTGATTATTATTATGCTTAAATTTCCTTTCAACTCAGCTTTAGATCAGTAAATAATCCCCTCATTGTACCCAACCGTGAAAAGCAAGACAAGGTTGTTCTACAATGACTGAGTCAGAAGGTTGAGGGTTCAAGCTCCACGTTAGGACTTGGAACTCAGATAGATTAGGCTGACACTCTATTGCAATGCTGGGGTGTGCCGCGTTATTGGAGATGTCATCCTTCAGATAAGACTGAGGTCCTATCTGGCTGTTCAGGTAGGTATTAAACGGCCTATGGCACTAATCAAAAAGAGAAGGAAGTTTCCCCTGATTTCTTGGCCAACGATTACCCCCATCTCACACACAAACACATGCATAAAATTGGTCACTCAATTCATGGCTATTTGTGGGAACCCCCTGTGTATGAAAATAGCTGCCACATCTCCTTAAAAATACAGTCATTACACTTGACAATTACTGTGAATCATTTTGAAACATTTCAGCTTGATAATGTGCAAGGCAATGCCCTTTCTTAGCCAATGCCCAAAGACAAAAATGCTGTGTCTCTAACAAATAACTTGGGTGGGAAAGTTAGCACTAGCACAGATACAGTACTTTCTACGAAGTTTATATAATAATCCTTGCATTTGATATAGCACCTTATCATGTCGTTGAGACATCTCATTTTGTGGGCGAATGCGGCAGCCAATTTGTGCACAGCAATGTCCTATAAACAGTCACAATTTTGTTTGGGGGATTGTTTGCCAGAACACTGGGAAAAACTCCCTTCTCTTTTTTGTTTAGTCCCATGGGATCTTTAATGTCCACCTGAACAGGCAGACGGGACCTCAGTTTAACGTTTCATCCAAAGGACAGGACCTCCGACAATGCAGTGTTCCCCCCGCACTGAAGGAAGCCATTCAGAGCATCATACATTGTCATTAACTCGCCACTGGAGCTCTCTGCTCTAATCCTATTCCCCTGCTCTTTTACCAAACCTTTTACTATCGTTCTAACTCCTGAAGAATAAACATTTTACAGTATATGGGGAGACATTGCATTATTCCCTTTGACCATTAGAGGCCAGCAGATTTAAGTCTAACCAGTTCTTGGGTTAATCTCCATTGTGGTTTGGGCATCATACTCTAATCTGCTTATTACAAGGCATTTTTTTTATTCCTCATAATTCTTCCTAACTGTTTGTGGGATTTGTGTGAAAATTGTCTGCCATGTTCACTTACAAAATACATAAACATTGCACTTAATAGTAAATCCTGTAAATCCTAGAACTGGCTGGATGACAGAAATCAGAGAGTGGTGGTGAACGCTTGTTTTTCTGACTGGAGCAATGTGCAATGTGCAATGGTGTCCCCCAGGGGTCAGTATTGGGACCACTGCTGTTTTTTGATCTGTATAAATGCCCTGAACTTGGGTATAGGG